AATCATTATAAATTTTTTTTATTAAAGAATAATAATTAAAATTTATATAGAAAAACTAAAATAAATTTTATTCATTTTCGATACTAAAATTTAAAACAATTTTTTTTCTTGAAATTTTAATACTAGTTGTTTTCGAATGATCGTGATATTTTACTTTGAACATTTGACATAAAGATATTCTTTTAAAAAGAACCACGTAAATCAAAGATCGAGTAAATATTTAATAAATCATTTATTCTTTTAATTCAGATTATCGTACATAACAACTTTCACGTGATAAAATCTGAATTTGCAATAATTTTGATTGAAGACTCAGTAACATCTTTTATTCACAATTTACATTATTGTCAAACAAATTAATTGCATTGATCTATAGACGCAATATTTCCATATTTCTTTAAAAAGAGGTCCTGGAGAATGAAATAGTTTACCGAACAAATTTCTCATCTTAAGTTAATAATAAATTTAAATATATTCACGAATAATGTAAAATTGAAACGGAAACATATTTGAAAATAATTTTCTATTTAAAATGAAGAAATGTAAATGAGTACACAATAATATATAAAATCATAAAACGATCATTAAAATATTTAGGTAAAGATTAAATTCGGATTATAAATGAAATGAGTCTTATTTACATAACAAATACTTGATAAATTTTATTCATTTCGTGTATCATTTGGTCCGATAAAAATCGCACCTGTTTCGATACATCATCATGCATTGCATTAGTTCTTCCATCATATTTCCTTGTACGCAAGTGCACAATATGTATTTTATTTAATCAATTTGTATGCGTATGCCAGTGAATGTGCTACACATTAGAAAATATCTTAATAATACTTACGTAAAAACCCGTACATAAGACATTTTTTTTATCTTTGATAAAGTGTAGGTCTTCGCGTCAAACTCTGAACAAGAGAATGCGCTTATTTTTAAGGCACTCAATGCCAGGAATTATGATTTTGCATGTAAGTACTAGCATCGAAGGCGATTCGTGGATAAAAGAAAACAAGAGAAAGAAAATAATATTAATAATAATAATAATAATAATAATAATAAATGAAATAAATCAACGAAATCTTATAATTGATATATCATCTATCTGTTAGAAAAAATAAAATAAAATAAAATAAAATAAAAGTATGAACGTGATATCGTTTTCGATCTAAGAAAAGTATATTTCGTAATATGTTGAAAATACTTTAAAGTGAATCATCCACCTTGAAAGTGAATAGGGAACAAAAAAAACAATTAACAAAATTCTGTCTTATTTGATTTCAAAGTCATAGCCATTTTTGTGTTCTAACAATTCGCATCAGTTCATTTTTATAGAAGCTGCAATAATTCCATCAATTTGTATCCATCGTATCATCGAATTTCGCAGTTTTTAAACACTCCAAATATGAGTTGAATCTGTTGACAGTTTTTTTTGTATACACATTTGAAGTTATTTAATATTGAGTATAGGATACACAATTGTTTTTTAATAACCTCAGAAATACAAATCTAATTACGCACTTGTAACTCTTAACACGCAGCAAATAAAAACTAATGAAATACTTTTAATAAGATAACTGTGCGTTGAAATTGAATTGATTAAACCAAAATTACTGAAATTTAATGAACAGAATGTAAGGTATGATCATTTATTGTAACATAATAAAATGACATTATTGGAACACAAGAGTGGCTTTCATTTTGAAACAAGGTCAAATAGGACAATTGTTTTTTGCATTATTTTTTTTTTTGTTCCCCGTTCATTTCTGAGGTTTGTCCCACATATTACGAAAAACACCCTATATAATATAATATAATATATATATATAAAGTATATACGTGATCCTGCACAGAGAAAGATGATTCTAACTTAAAAATACGAAACGTATATTATCTTAAAAATAATTGGACGGCGGTTGAATGCTTTTTCTTAAGTTTTTTTTTTCGATCGATCCAATCGATCAAAATTAAATTAAAAAAACAAACCGGAACATATTCCTGCCTGTTTGCGATATTAGAATATTTTATATATATATATATTAATATATAATATTATAAATAAATATTATAAAATATTATATATAATATATATTATATAATATTCATTAATATACATAATATTATATATATATAAAATTTGAAATATTATAAATTAATATATATAAACATAAAAAAAAAAAGAAAAAAATATCTTCAAGAAGAAACCTTACAGAAAATATCTTTACATATAAGACAGTAGAAATGCTGTGTTACGGATAATGGCGAAAAATAATCTCGTTTATGAACTTAAAAAAGAATTAACATCAATTCTACGATTGTACTTCCTACAAAAACGGCATGAGACGTTCGAATTTGGATCAAATAAGAAATTATGTCGATTATTTTTTTCCTGACACGGAACTGATTAGAATACTTAATGTATTGTTTTTTTTTTGTATTATATAATTATTTAATGGGAATATTTAATATTATACCTAATCACTTATGATATAGCAACATACTTGTACGTGCATCCTTTTAGCGCTATAATGTTTAATACGTTGCCGATCATAAGAGACATAAGATGTTTGAATTAATAGGTGACTATTAAATATTGTCTATTTTTAGGCGCTAATACTTAATATTCGCATAAATAATTATAACGTATTAATAAAATCGATGAATAATAATCTTTGGTATTAACCCATTTAGGCCTACCATATAACGGTATAATCTGTTTAAACAAATTTATATTAATTTATTTTACCGCTATAGAGGGTGTCCCAAAAGTTATAAAACTGTAAAATTCGAAATCATTTTTGACAGATATTTGGAACTCAAACATCATGGCACCATATACTTTTTATTATCAACATTTTAATTAATAAATCGTATCTTCAAATAATATAAAATTCTATTTTTATTAACCAATAATTATTTTTTTCTAAATAGATTCATCACAACTCCAGAAACATCCTCTGTACGAAACACATGATTCTCGGAAAAATCCCCATAAATTTAATATTTATCTAGTGTTTGTTCTAATCGATTTTAAATATTTTTAATTATATTAATAACACAATTTTAGGATTCGTGAAAAAATTGAACCACTAGACTAATTTGGAACTGGGACGATTTGAACCCAGAAATCTTTCACTTTCGGGGCAACAGCTTTATCCATTGAGCTATCCAGGCCCCGTAGTCAACTTTCTCACGAATCATATTTAAGTATTTGGCATGGATGTGCTTGATTCCACAAAAATGTCATAAAATTCATGAATCAATTAATTTACAGGTCTAAATGGGTTAATAAAAGAAAATAATCGTAAATATTCGTCTGATATGAAAAAAAATTGATTGGAATAAATAAATAAAAAAAAATGTCATTCTGCAATTTCTGGCTTCACGTGTCGATTATAATCAAACGTTCGAATGTTATCGTAAACGTCTTAGCTCGATTTTTTCCTAAATGGCCTATTCAAATTCACGATTTATAATCGCAATTTATCGGCAGTAATTGTTTAGTTCTTTCTCACACTCGTAAACGTTTAATCCGAGACTCGTGAGAGATTTTGTTCACAAAGACGTAAACTTTGTTTACATCTGTTGTTGATAGTTTTTCAATTAATAGATCCAATTGACTGGTACCCACTGGTGTTCAGTAGCCAATGCGTCTAACGCTGCAACAACTTGTCTGAAGGTTTGATCAAAATCTTCGTTGACGATCACGAGATCGATATATTTTTCATAGGCCCTTTGTAAAGCTGCTGATTCTTCCAATGTCGATTTTAAATCGTCTTCCTGTGGTAAAGAAATATATTTTTAATTTTTTTTTGTGTTTTGTTTTATTTTTCTCTTTTCTTTCTTTTTTCTTTCGTTATATTTTATATATTGCAACGACGTGTGTATCAAAAAAAAAGAATAATAGTATTTTCAAAAATATGTACAAGCAAATAGAATTAATAAATGATAAGACAAAAAAAAATAAAGATGATGCGTCATGCAACACAAACCTCATATAAAGATGCAAGGGATTCTAGTGTTCTGGCCCTCCTCGAGCTGTACCTTATCGAACTCTGCCGGTCAAACTATCAAGCGAAGAACATCAAATACATTTAAAAAAAGGGATCAAATCATATTGGGATGATCAAGCTTAACGAATACTTGCTAAAATAATTTTTTTTCCTTTTCTGTTTTTTTTTGTTTTAATAAAATATAAAATTAACGATTCATGTAGAAAATATTTCAGTATTCAAATGATTGCTAATAATAATAAAATATTGCTAAAGAAATGCAAATATTTCTATCAATAAAATACTGTTCAATACTTGGCGAGAATTTTGCTTTCATAATTGTTCAGATAATTCTAATATGCAAATAAAATACGCTAATGGAATCAATATAATTATCTTTGATTTTTAAATTAATTTTATAAAACACTTGGATGATATTATTTTCAATGTTCAAAGGTAAACGCGTTGATAGAATTTGCATGCAAGAAAAATGAAACATCATTGAATGTGTATCATGCATTTATACAGGGTGTCTCGGGATTTATTGGCAAAGCTGCGAGAACATATTCTATAAGTGGAAATAACAAAAAACAATGTTATTCGAAGTTTGGTTAGAGATGTTTTATTACAAAATTATAATGAAGTTCTAATCGTACTTCAAAAAAATATTTTTTTAATATTTCCACTTGTAGAATATGCTCTCGCAGTTTGATCGGAAAGTTTTGGGACATCCTGTATATAATTAATATTTATATAATTATTCATGTATACGCAGCAATGAAATATTTTACAAACACGTTTATTTTAAATAAAAAATCACGATTTTCATTTAGCAACATTTATCAAATCTAATGTTTATTATTTACAAGGATAAACTACGATACTACGACAACGATAAAACAAAAAAAAATTAAAAATAATTAATTAAATAATTTGAACTATAAAATACTGCTTTTTAATTAATAAAATCTCGAGTTACTTTGAATTATAGATACTTATGTAAATGAAAAATATTGTTTGATTTGTATAAATACCGTCAAATTTCTACTGCTAGCTCCTGTAGACCTTCCAAGATCATACAAACTCTTTAATTGTTCCATTCCCGGTGCTGCTATGAAGATAACATAAGGCATAAATTCTGTACTATTATGAAGTATCTTCAATGCAGCTGGACTACAATCTAGGACACACATCTTTCCTGCTCTTATTAATTCTCTAACGGAGTCTAATTTTGTTCCGTATAAATGACCACCATGTTCACCGTATTCCAAATACCGATGTTCTCTGATATCTTGTTCCATACTTTCTCTATCGGTAAACCAATAACTTTTTCCATCTTCCTCGAGAACTCTGGGAGGACGAGATGTGTCTGAGAAAATAAAAATAAATATATAATAATTAATATTTGTTATTTTTTAATTATTATTAGATAATCCTATATAAAACGTACTTGATATAATTTGGAAAATATTTTAATAATACAGTTGAGAATTTTAATAATACAGTTGAGAATTTTTATTGTTTTCAATATGTTTGTAAATTTCTAATAGAACCCAAAAACAAAAATATACAAGGTGTTCAAGAAGGTTTTTGTTAAACTTAAAAATTGATAATATAATAAATATAAAAAATTTTCAATAAAACAGATCTGTAAATATTATTTTCTCGTATAACTGATGGATAACGAATTAACGTACGTATATAGTAATTCAATTAGTTGTTAATCGCGTCCAAAAATAAAATTATTAATCAAAGTGTCACAGGGACGTTAGAAAGGTTAAAAATGTTTAGAACGTTATTTCGATCTTATTGAATAGTAATTTTGATCGATTCATCCTGTATAAAAAATATGAACTAACGTTAGACAAAAATCAAATTACCGATGAATAATTCATTAAAAAATGGATATTTATTCTTACATGGTACGATCGTGCCAAATTTTTCTCGATCACTATTAATCAGCCTGTTTTTCAACGTTCGTCTACCAACACCACGTGGTCCAACCAATGCCAAAGTTTTACGCCTAAACGGTGGCATTCTAGCAACTTCCTCATAAAGAAGCAACTCAGCACTATCAAATTCACCGTTGGATTTCGACTGATACATTTTCCTTTTCTTTTTCTTCGAAATTCTAGTCCCACAGATGCTTATTTTGTGAACGAAATCTGCCTCGGGTGGTACGAATGCTTTTCTTCGTTCTTCCAATTCCAAAGATGGTACGAGACCAGCTGAACTTAGGCCTTCACCTTCGACCCTTCGTGCTTGCCACCAATTTGGATCTGCTTGATCTACTATTTGCAGGATATTACCTTTGTCGAAACGCAAGCCAATTTCTTTGCAGGGTAAAAGTGTATCTTCTGATGGATCGTAATCGAACAAGGCTCGCATATAACACTGTAAAAAGTAAATTGATTATTAAGGTATACATGTAAATTGTTTTTTCTTTTTCCGTTTAAAATTCTAACAAAATCAGTTGCAACTAAAAAGTAATGTAACTTATAAAAAAGATCCTATATCATATATTTCTTTTCAAAATTTAGTTTCCAAAAAATACCGTTTTAATTTGAGATTAATTAATTACAAATTATTATAGTTATATTGCTTGCCAATTTGAAAAATATGTAATATGTTAGCGCGGGAATCTGTAAATCTTGAAAATGATCAATTTTTTGAGTATTAATCTCAATGGCATTTCATTTTTAAAACCTTAAAGTGTATTTTAAAAGAAAAATAAAGAAAAATATTTATTTTTTTGAAATATTTACACAAATGTTATCTCTCAATTGGATGTATTTTATTACATAATTTGTTTCATTATTAATAATTGCGAGTTTCCAATAAAACTAATCATAAAAAAAAAAGAATGAAAAGAATGTATTCAGCTATATTTGTTCCAGATGATTGATCACAAGAATTTAATAATTGTAAAAATATTCTTATTACGATAACTACCTCTATAATTACGGTAGTGATCATAGTTGTGATTAGGTTTCGAGATGTTACGTAGTCGAGTAAATATAAGAACAAAACTATACATTAAAGTTATAGTCGTTGAACTGGTCAACAGAGCGGAACAAGTAAAGTCTAACAATGCTTTTGATTACCGTCGACTTGAGTGGTCTACTGCCATCATTGGCAATTCCAGGGGCCAATTTTAAAAAGAGATTTTCTTTAGCCTCCTGTATGGCCTGTTGCAATTCATCGGGATTGTGAACAGTCTTTCCATTTACTTCCAGGATCACCTCGCCTGTTCTTAACAGTCTTTGTCTTGCTGCTGTGCTACCACCAAGGATTCTGGCGATTATCAAGTTACCAGATTCGTCTACTTGCACTGTTAAACCCTGAAAAAAAATAAGAATAAGAAAAAGAATGAAAATGACACATCGAGTAATTCTAAAATGAATGAATAATAAGTATATATATAATTTTAAAATAATAATGAAATTTATTTATCAAACCAGACCCATAAAAGAAAAAGAATGAAAATGAAATTTCGAGTAATTCTAAAATGTACGAATAATAAGTATAATTCTAAAAAATAATAATGAAATTTATTTATCAAAGTTAAAACGATATCGTTTAAAGATTCCTCGTTTCTGTTAGAATTCATTATGGAAATAAACGTTTTAAAACACGAGAATACGATAAACGAACGTTTTCATTGAAAACTGGGCAAGCGTTATGTTCATTTTAAATCGCAAACAGTAGCTCTGCCTCTGAGAAGTTGATAATACTTAATAGAAAATTCTTTTGATATTTTCACATATATCTCAAATTTTTTCTTTTCTCGATAAATCGAAATACCAGATAAAACCGGGGGATTTGAAGATTCAATTGCCACTGGCCACATGGTACTGTGAGATCGAGAGAGAATAATAAACGTTTCCAATCTTATTTATGAACTGCATGTGGCATTTCCGTCTTTCATTTCGACGAATGTAACTTAAAGAGAAAAAGAAAGAGAAAGAGAGAGAGATAGATAGATAGAGATAGATACTCGTCTGGCTGAGATTCTCAACATTTCTCTTCTCATTTTTCGTATAATAGTTTGTTTCAAGGAAAGAGGGATAATTCTTTAAACGATTGATTCCAGGCACTATTTTGAAAACACTATACGAATTCGCATTTATATACTCGTATAGAGGTACACTCAAAATTAGTATCATTTTGTGATATTGAATTTAACTTACGCTTAAATAAATAAATAATAGATTTTATTTTAAATTATCGTTTTATTCTTGGATTAATTTGTGCTGATACGTTACAATGTTCCATATTGGATGTTATTTTATAACAAAACAAAAAAATACTCTACATAAATAAACATTAAAATATTTTAATTCACATCACTTCAAAAAATCACTTAATAAATTGTTCAATAAAAAAATGGTGTAAGAATATATAAAAATTTGTCGTTTAAAATACGATCATTTAAAATTTGTGAATCTTTAATAACATTCTTCATATTTAATATTAATTTAGATTGCTATAACACAATTCCTAAACATATATTTTTCTATACTTTTAAGTGAACCAAAAGTTCGTGCGTTTATTGTGTTATAAATTGTCTTATAAACTGCATAATTAATTGTTTTTGTAAAATTTATTTTGAAAATGTTAAATAAAAAAATATGCACGAACTTTTGATTCATCCTAAAAAAAATCATGAAATATAATTAGAATTATTTACCAATGGTTCGTCGGGTTGTCTAGTGAGTCCAACGACTCTAATAACTTCCGTTCTCTCGTCGGAAGGCATAACTAAAGGTTGAATCGTTTCTGAGATCGATGAAGCTTCTCTACGTTCCACAACAGCGTCGTGAGTTTCTAAGAGTGCCTTTAAGTGGGAGTTTCTCAACAGAACGACCAATTCACGAGCGTATTCGTTTCTGTAGAATTGAAGATCGTGGCAAACCTCGTCAACGATGTCACAAACAGAAGAGCATACCGGTTCCACAGGGACCGGTGCGTCCTCGAGACGTTCCTGGACCTGAAAGTTAGTCAGAAGTCACACCGGGATCCATTGAAAACAGGTTTTCACAACCTTCGTACCTTTTACTACAGTTTTAGTTAAGGAGACAAAAGAGAATCTTAGTTTTACCGAAGAACTCTCGATATCGATTATGTTCTAAGTATACACAACCCTTTTTGACTAATACATATTTGTTTTATTTTCTCATACGTTGATAATATTATAAATAAAACATCGTAATATTTTTTATGGATATTCGTTCGTAAATTTCTTTATTTTATTTTTTTTTTAATTTTTATTTAGTTGATATTAATATACATTAATTTAGTTAATTAAGAGATAAATTATATTACTTTGAATAACTTTTTATGAAAAAGATATGTAAGGAATACAAAATATATAAATAAATAAATAAATAATTTATCTTTCATTTTTTTTATATTAATGATTCTTGAACTGAAATTTTGACTAAATAATATTTCTAAATTTTTAGTGTATCGCAATAATATATACTTATTTATATTAATATAAAAGTTTTTATATATCTATCAAAATTTATCTTTAAATATTGATATCGATTATACTTGAACAACGAATGTTTTAATTATCGATAAAGCAACTTGAACTGTTCAAATTTTTAAATTTTTAGTAGCTTAAATCACCTAATAAAAATTATATCATTTCTATAAAAATTAATTCATTAATAATTACGCACATTGATTATGCTTAAATAATTAAACATTCTTAGTTCTGTAATACCTTTACAATGATAAAAAATATAAAATCATTTTTATTGTTAATTTAATTTTCATTAATCAATCATAAATTATTGTGATAGTATTTATTTAAAAAATTCTTCAATGATTTGACGATATACTAAATTATTTTAAGTTGCCAGAATAGATTTTGATTTAAACTAATCTTCCAATACTAGAAGAAGAATCCGTGAGCAGCTCGTCTAGTCACTCTTACCAGTTGTGAAAGTTAGAACGGGTTTCTGTATTAAAGTCATTATATTTATGGTATGGTGAGATATCGTGGTTATAGTTTGCTATTGTATTTCCATGAGAATAGGAGAAGTCTAGTTAATGATCATAGCACACCTGTATCAACGAAATTTTTCTCTAATGATCTTATATTGTAGATAAAATGGCCTTTAGATTAAAGTCATTTACTAGTTTATCTCAAAAATGCTGATAATATAAATATATTTTTAACTTAACGTTGAGCTGATTATGAAACCAAAATTCCCAATTTATGGTAACTTTTTATAAAACGAAAAAATTAAATAAATCAATGAATAAATAAAAGAAGAAACATTATTGATTTTAATTTTGTAATACGTAAAAGGTATAAATAAATAAGTAAACAAACATAAGAAACATGAATGATTGTTATTTTGTAATGCGTAAAAAAAATAAATAGAGTGAACAAACAAAAGAAACATTAATGATTTTAACTTTGTAATGGATAAAGAAAGGGATTAATGACTTTAAAATTGTTGAGAGAAAGAACGTGTCAAATAAAAACAAGGAAGATGATGTCAATGAAGATTAATTGCATTAGAACCATTACACGTTAGAGTCAATGCTTATGGTCAGACCCCTATTCGTGTGTAGAGTTGATACGAAATCACAATATATAATTACGAAGTAATTACGAAAGTAGGTCATTCTCATTGCCTCAAAGCCACTTTCAAGAAGTAGTTCACCGAGAACAATGCTTTATCGATAATTAAAACTTCTTAACTAATGAATTAATCTCACCCGGTTTTGATTTAAATTTTAAATATTATACGACAATTTGAAATTAATCGGACGACCAGATTTACCAAATATATATCGTTTTTAATTAAAAAGTTATTGAATGTATATTCATTGAAAATTTATTTCTGGCTTGTATAAACGAATAATAATTTTCACAAATTTTACGGGATTTCGATTTTAAGAGAAAATTTATAAATGATTCGTCGATTAATAAATTTATATTTTCGATTAATATCTTTAAATATACGTAGATATAATTTGTTCATGTAATCGTTAACAAATTTCCAACAAATTTAATAGCACATAAGCATTGTTATAATATTTATATTAAATTTTATTACGATTCTTATTCTATTAGTTTATCAGAAAGTTTGTAACGAATAATACTTTTTTAATATAAAAAGTGTCTCTGTTTTTTGTTCTTTTGTAAAACTGTATCAGTAAATTCAAGAAATAAAAATAATAAAAATAAGAAAGAAAACAAATATTATATACGAACATGGGTTCTTCATTGCTTAGTTAAAAAATACGTAATGGTAATGGACTAGTGTTTGAAATTTACTTGAATATGCAACAATAACATATTCGGATCTCACTTTTTATCTGAAAGATTAACTGCAGAATCTTTTTTATAAATTTACATTCAAAATGAATTGTGGTCAGAATTGTTAAGAGATATTCCATAATTATTTTGTCAACATCTATGAATCCAATTAGATGATTGTCCAATAAATTATGAGATACTAGTATGACAATGATTAAATGACCATTATTTTATGACCATTAAGAGGACAAATTTATTGGTTCCATAAGATTACAATGAATTTTTATTAGTGAAAAATAGTGAAAGTATAAAAGTTTATCAAATATAAATTAATATACGTTAGAAATGAATGCTACGAATTCGTGACGCATTTCCTACAATTAAGGAAAATGAGGAAGAAATTAGTAATGCAATAAATTGTATCTTCAGCAGATGCTAGTGTTGCATTCATAATGATGAAAAACGTTTTAGAATGGCATTATAATTTGAATTGACAATTTATTCTTTTGTTGTATCGAACAAAAAAGTAGTCCTTTGTTATTACTTATTTTTGTTATAACTTTTTAATATAGGATTTATAAGTATTAAATATATAAATAAAGGTAATAACATTATGTTAAATGTTTTTTCTTATCGTTAATAATAAATTATACTGGTAAAATTTTGCGGAAAATAACTTTAATAAAAATATTAATCAGCACAAACTTTCCGAGTAACCTAACATACTAAAAATCATAAAAAAATTGTATCATATGTAAATATTATACTAATAAAAACAAAAAAAAAACAGAAAAATAGGTAAATTTGCAGTAAAATTTGTTGAAGATGTTAATTTGATAAAAGTTACTTGTTTAACCTACAAACCTAACCCAATACAGGAACAATTTAAAAACATACGTCAGCTATACCTTGCACAACAGATTTTGCGAATATAAACGTATACTCGGAGATGCACGATGACGATGACTCACCATTGCATTGAATCACGTTTATTCGCAATACACACGTATACGTGCATATTCTTATACTTACATATTATGAATGTGTTTAATCGGATAAACGTTGCTGTCATTTTTAATAATTACATTTTATATGTACTATTTTTAAATTATATATATTCCACCAACACAAGGTTTTATTATTCCTCAGATATTTATCGTTTGATTTTTCATTTTAGAAAAGATAAACCATGTCAAAAGATTTCGAAATCGGTAAATAGATATTAGTGATCGTTTATTGGATGTGTTCGGCTAACACGAGTTTCGACGTTTGAGTTTCGACATAAATCAAATTGCGGTACACGAAATTCATCGGCACGATTTATTCGTGGTTGCAAAATAAACGTTAATGTCGTTTCAACGCTTTGTCGAGTGATCGAGGTAAACCAAAAGCGCCGAATATGTGAAGGAACGACATACGAGACATATGCGAAACATATGTTTGCTAGATTCGCTAATTTTAACAACATCGATTTTATCATCCGATTTTGATTAATTCCAGATTCGTCATAACCTTTTCCTAAATAACTATTATGGTAAGATTACTTATTTTGTTAAATTCATGATGAATTTATTCAATTCTTACCATATTAATTTATCAACAACATTAACATAATAACAAAATTATTATAACTTTAATATTATTATATTTGTTAAAATACAAATTTAATAAATTATTTTCGATATAAGAAAGTTTCGAATTTAAATATATAAATTTATTTTTGTATTAAATCAAACGACTACCGTGTCCTAATACTTTATTATAAATAATCATAACGGTAAGATTTTACTTTTTCTTTTCTTTTTACAATTTCTAACATTCCAATGTTTCAATTAATTTATTACATTCTTAACATATTTAATATATCCTCAGATTTTAAGTAACAATTTTAATTTTGTATAAAAAAAGAAAATTCTATTAATGATAAAACAATTGATTAGGATTCCTAATGTTTCTATAATTCGTATAAATTCGTGTTAAAATATGTGATAACTAAATAAGTTACTATTCAATCAAACTTGAAATGTCTTCCTCTATCCTTGCGTTTATTCTCGTACATAGTACCTTTCACCAACCTTCTTCTTTGATCATTCTGGAATCATTTGAAAATCCTCCTACGCGATATCAAACGTTGAACCTAACACGTTTGAACATTTTAACTAAACATTGTACACGACATAATGCATATACATAATATCACGTGTTTCATTGATTCATAAACTTTCCACTCGCGCGGTTGTTCATTTCATCATAATCCACTCGACGCCACTTTCATGTTACTTTTAGTTCACCAGCCATTACTGCTACATTCGTAGCCACGAAAATGATTTCCACACAAAAAAAAAAATAAAACAAAAGATAACAAACGTAAATAAATAATTACGTAAATAACGTCTACTATAATTAATGAATAATTAACCAACAAATAAAAATTATCTTACGACTTATAACGTGTTTACAATATTCCTCTTGTTTATTTCACGTAGATGAGATTTATCGTTAAAAATCATTTTAATCAATGCTAACTCTAAGATGACGCGTTCTCACCTGAGACAAATGATTTTTAACGTTGTCGTCGATGTCCTGGAAGAAGATGCTTCTTTCAAAGAAAGATGTTTAAAGGCTTGAGTTGAACCTGGACGAGAGTAGTTGTTGGTTGAAACGAGTCAGTGGCCTCGATGAATAGAAACGTACAACGTTGATATTGATCGCGGTCGTTTTTGTAGAGGGCGAGAAAAACGTCACGATAACGAATATGTATATATATATATATGTAAATGTTAGGGTAGCGGGTGACGGGCGGGCGGGGGGAGGGCGTACTCTACTAGAACTTTAGCTTCCTATTATATTGTGTTTCATATTTAATTTTCTATGAAAAGGAATAAAAAAAAAAAGACGAAAAAACCCAAAAGGAGAAAAATGTAAAAGAATAAAGAAACAAAAGATAACGTGTTGTAAACTAGGTGTACGCTGAGGTAGCGGCGTCTGAAAACTGCCGCGCCTACTACTGACGTTTTTCCCCTCCGCGTAGGCAGCCCGTTCAGTTCGTTCAGTCCGTTCGACTTTCTGAAACAGGTGGGGGCCCTTCTTCTTCTCCTGCTTTGCCACGACTCTCTGGCATGCGACGCACCGCTACGTTCTACGTTCAAGTACGACATGGATAACAGGGACGTATCAATTATATATACTCCCATGCCGTCAGAATTGTCAAGTTTTTTATCATATATGGATAATAAAGGATTGACATTCATTTTTCTATTGGTTTAATCAACAAATTTTGTAACAATTTTATAATGAAAATTTGAAGACAGAACTTTTATATTTATTAATTAACACGAATTTTTTAGGCTACCTCAAACAATGTTATAAGAGTTATATTATAAAGGTTTTTTAATAAGTAATTAACAATTAAAGAATATTGTGGAATGTCTGTTTGTTTTTTATTTTTATTAACGTAACACATGTTTTGATACGTTCTATGTTTAAATACAACATGGATAAAAAGCATGTATCAATTCTACATACTTCCATGCCGTGAGAATTGTCAAGTTTTTTATATTGATAATAAAGAATTGACATTCATTTTTCTATTAGTTTAATCAACAAACTTTGCAACAATTTTATAAGGAAAATTTGAAAACAGAACTTTTATATTTATTAATTAACAAGAACTTTTTAGGCTACCTTAAACAATGTTATAAGATTTATATAATGGTTTTTTAATAAATAATTAATAATTAAAGAATATTGTGGAATGTCTGTTTGTTTTTTATTTTTATTAACGAAACACTGATGTTTTGATACGTTCTATGTTTAAATACGACATGGAGAACATGCATGTATCAATTCTACGTATTCC